GAAAACAGTTTGGTATTGGCATAAAAACAGACATTTGGACAAATGGAACCAAATCAGACACCCTGATATTAATCTACAAACCTGTGACCACCTGATTTTTTTACAAAGAAGCTAAAATTATGCAATGGAATAAAAAAATCATCTTTAAGAAATAGTTCTGGCATAACTAGATGTCACATGTAAAAGAATGCAAATAGATCCATATCTATTCCCCTGCACAAAACTTAAGTCCAAAGGGATCAAAGACCTCGACATAAATCCAGCCACACTGAACCTCATTAGAGAGAAAGTGAGAAGTAGCCTTGGATGCAAGGACACAGAAGATGACTTTCTAAATATAATACCAACAGCACAGACACAAAGAACATCAATTAATAATGGGTCCTCCTGAAATTGAGAAAGTTCTGCAAGGCAAAGGACACCGTCACCAAGACAAAATGGCAGCCTACTGAATGGGAAAAGATCTTCACTAACCCCACATCAGACAGAAGACTGATCTCAAAAATATATAAAGAACTCAAGAAACTAGCCATCAAATTACCAAATAATCCAATCCAAAAATGGGGGTATAGCTCTAAACAGAGAATCCTCAAAAGAAGAATTACAAATCGCCAAAAGACACTTAAGGAATAGTTCAACATCACTGATGGCTATCAGTGAAATACAAATAAAAATGTCTCTGAGATACCATCTTATACCTCTCAGAAAGACTGAGATCCAAAACACCAAAGATAGCTTATGCTGGAAAAGAAGTAGAGTAAGGAGAAACTCATCCATTGAATGAAAACTGATAGCCGCTTTGGAAATCAATATGACTATTTCTCAGAAAATTGGGAGTCAATCTAACTCAGAACCCTGGGAATATGCCCAAAGGATGCACACTCATATGACAAGGATGTTGCTCAACTGTATTCATAAAAAAATTATTTGTAATAGCTAGATCCTGAAGCCAACCTACATGCCCCTCAACTGAAGAATAGCTAAAGAAAATGCGATTATTTTACACAACGGAGTACTACTTAGTGGTTAAAAACAATGACATCTTGAAATATCATGAAAATAGATGGAACTAGAAAACAACGCGTTGAGTGAGGTAAATCAGACCCAAATAGACAAACACTGTATGTACTCACACATAAGTTGGTATGAGATGTAAAGCGAGTATAACCAGTCTATAGTGTATGATCCAGAGAAGATAGAAAACAAAGAGAAGCCTAAGAGAAACATACATAGATTCCCATGGGAAGGGGAAACAGACAAGACCGCCTGGGAAAACTAGGAGTGGGGAAAAAAAGGGTGGAAGGGCTGGGGGAGGAATGGGGAGAACATGAGAGAATGGGATGCTCAAGAAGGGGGAAGAACGGCAAGGGAGAGAAAGGAAAGCGATATCTTGATTGAGGGAGCCACTAAAGGACTATTGAGAAACACGGCACTGGGGAAAGTCCCAGGAATCCTGAAGGATGACCCCAGCTAAGATTTTAAGCAACAGTGGAGAGGATGCCTAAATTGGCCTTACCTTGTAATCAGACTGATGACTATCTTAATTGCCATCATAGAACCTTCAATTAGCAACTGATGAAAAAGATACAGAGGTCTACAGCTCCCTGGGACTAGCCCAAGAGACAGAGAAGCAATAATAATGAGCAAAGGGGTCAAGACCATGATGATGACACCCACAGAAACAGCTGACCTGAGCTAGTGAGAGCTCACTGACTTTGGACTAAGAGCAGGCAAACCTGCAAAGGACCAAATTAGGCTCACTGAATGTGGGGGACAGTTGTGAGGCTTACACAGTCTGTGGTGTCACTAGCAGGATTTATCCCTAGTTCTTGGAGTGCATCTAGGGGCACATTCTTTTGGGAAGGATACATTGCTAAGCCTAAACAGAGTGGGGGAGGACCTTGGTCTTGCTTGCTTCAAAGTGAAGTGTCAGACTTTGTTGACTCCCCATAGGAACTCTTACACTTTCTGAGGAGTGTATGGGGAGGTAGGATGGCAGGGGGGGGAAAGTGAAGGAAGCGGGAGGTGGCAGAGACTTTAACACAAGCTGATCTTTGAAATGGTTTGGGCTGCTAGTCATTCTGGATTTTCAACCTCTAAGAATTTATAATATTACTGTAAACTGACAACCCTGTAGAATAGAAACCATTCAGTTCATAATTATAATATTAATTTTGCTTCGGTGTTTCCATGATGATATGCAAACATATAAGTATGAAGGCACATGTAGGATCATGATTTTTCCCTTTGCTCATCACTGAAACTTTATTTTGAATATTTGGGTTCTTTATTACAACGTCTCCATTTAGCTTGTTAGTTCTACAATAAGTACTGTGTCTGACACACATTAAAAACAGAATCATGGTAGATAAAGGAGATTGTAATAGGATCTCACAGAAATCCTCTAAGACATCCATGCTTCTGTAAAACATCAGTGCTAATACCTTGAGAAGTTACAATTGTAATAATATTTTCAGAAAACATCCAGCATATAGACTTGGTGAAATGCTCTGGTCAGTCAGATGACAAGAGATTCTCTGTCCATGCCACAACTACACCAAAATACTGGCTCAAAGGATGTGTGGTAAGATATAATACGACTTGGGAGAAAAAAGTCTCTAAATTTATAGAATAATCCATTACATTTGTTTCCCATGAAGGATAATGATGATTTGCCTAAATAAACCAGATAATATTTAAAAAAACATAGAAATGTTACACTGCAAATTTGATTTATATCCCATGGGTATGAGGCAATATCCAAGCATGCCTCCTTTCATGGTGAGCCTGCTAAACAGAAAGGAGCTTCAGTTAATCTTCTGTAGCCACCAGGAGAAATGCTCCACCCTCTTCATCCTATCAAAGAAGGAACTTTCCAATCAGTCCTCTGGTCTGCAATCCTATGCCAGGTAGAGGAATGTTGCTGTGGTTAAGGCTATCCCAGCTTCCTTTGTGATTTCATGTTACAGGAAAATAAGGATGGGAAAGCTGGCGATGAAGACGTGACATTAGACAAAGCTTTATTTTTCTGATTCTCCTGCACTGGTGTCTTGCTCCCCTCCCATTGTAATTGATTTTTTCTCTGTCTTTCTGTCACAGATGTTACTAATGATGCAGAAATTGCTAAAAACCAATGTGGAAAATATTGCACAAAAGAAACACTATCCTTTCAGTTTTCTTGCCAGGTAGAAATTGATTCCATACTGTCTGGCTGTCGTTCCTGTTAACTCTCTTTCTTTCAGCCCAGACATTTATTCTCTTGCATTGGTGGTTGGTGTTTCAGTGCTTACCACCCCTTAGCATGAGAACAACTCTTTCACTTGGGGCATAGTTAGAGTCAAAAATTTGTTGGTTTTGTTTGTTTGTTTTAAAACTTTAAAAACATGTTTTTTTTCAACCTTTAAAAAGTTAAAGTTAGGAAAGAATTGGATGTGGGAGTCCCCTCTGTGTGTTGCTTATAATGGTTAATGAATAAAGAAACTGCCTTGGCTTGACAGGGCAGAACATAGGTAGGCGGAGAAGACAGAACTGAATTCTGGGAGGAAGAAAGCAGAATTAGAGGGATGCCATGGATCTGCTGCCAGAGGCAGACATGCTGAAACCTTTCTGATAGTCCATGACCACGTTTCAATGTACAGATGAATAAAAATGGGTTAAATTAAGATGTAAGAATTAACCAATAAGAAACTAGAGCTAATGGGCCAAGCAGTGATTTAATTAATACAGTTTTCTATGTTGTTACTTCGGGGCTAAGCTAGCTGGGAGGCCAGAATGAACTAACAGCCCCTCCTTGCAACAAGAATTATTTAAACATTTCACTTACTTTGCTTATTGTTTTTTTACTAGCTGATATTTTGAATCAGTTCTCAATGGCCAATCTTGATATGATTTTTGAAACAATTTATCCTTATACTTAGTATTTATTAAATGTTAAAATAGTCTTTTATAAATGCATCATTATAAGCCATTTAGCAAAGTCTTTTTTTTTCTTCAAAACTAGAAGATGTTTACTGAATATCTGACCTTCAGTTTTCACAGCTGATGGGACACTTGAAGTGAGCCCTGAGAGCATGAACTCAGCCTGGAGGTCCCCATGCAGCAGCTTTCTTTCTCATGAGTCATAGATTTGGGATCTTTTGGAAGCCAAAAAAATCACTCAGACACTAAAAGAGATTAATTTGGCATTTTATGATGATGTGCATTGTGAAGAGGTTGAAATTGAAAAATAAATATTAGAAGACGTTATCTGTCATAACTATTTTCATTACACCGTGAATAAGCGGTGTAAAGCAAGATGAGAGTACCACCTTTAGAAACCTGAAGGTCAGACATGTGTGAGCTCACACATTATTTTCTTACTTACATTATTTTTTTAATTGATGTAGGCCAAGTTTAAGAGAGTAAGAGGATTTTGGGTGTGATGAATCCCTAAGCATTCTTCTCATTCTCCAAAGCACCTTTATTTATTTATTTCCCTTCTGAAATCAACTCATTACCCATATTCCTGGAAATAACCTGAGTAAAATCACTGATTTACAAGGGGTAGTGACAAATCAGCCTGACTCTAATTTACATTTAAAAGCTGTCTTATAGAAATGGCAAATGAGGTTCATTCCTACTTATTATTAAATCTCTGATTTTCAAGGATTGGGCTAGGCTGCACCTGTGACCTTAGCTACCAATGGTTCTGTACTACTTGATCCAGGAAGTGGAAATTATGGTTTTTTTTTTTAAAGTTCTTATAACCATCTCATAAGCCTTCCTTTGTTCTAAAGTGTTGCTATGGCTACCTTGTTTTCGGCTCCTGTAACTCTGCCTATTTTTCCCACCAAATTCTCTATTTGTAAACCCCCTACACCTGATCCTCTCATTTCAGTAAGGCACCACAGTAAAATCCATTGGCTCACCAAGTTAGACACTGGTGCTGTCCTTACATTGGTCTGTCTTTGGTTCTCTGTAGGGGTGAATGGATGACATTTGATGGTAGGTAGAAGACTCACCAGCAGTGTAAAAGCGTTCTGCTTTCTCCACGACCTCACCAACACTTGTTACTTTGTAGATGGGCTTTTCTTTCCACCTCATCAGTTCCCAAATAACTGACCTGGAAAGTCAATATTAATTATAAATGCTTGGCCAATAGCTCAGGCTTACTACTACCTAACTTGCACATTTAACTAAACCCATATGTCTTATCTATGCTTTGCAACATGGCTTGGTACCTTTTCTCAGTATGGCATGCCCGTATTGCTTCTCTCTACATCTGTTTGTAACTCCCAACTCTGCCCTTTTTCTTCCCAGTCTTCTCAGTTTGTCTCTTCTGCCTAACCTTGCCTTGTTATTAAACCTTACCTTGTCCAAATATTGGCCAGTCGGCTTCATTATTAAACCAGCCACAGTGACATATATTTACACAGTGTGAAGGAACAACCCACTTTACTTTTAGTTTTTCTTTTAGCAAAAGCCAACTTAGTAAGTGTGAGGTGAAAATATGTTTAAAGTTTTGTCTGTATCTTCCTGATGATGGGTCATTTGGGCCATCTTTTCATATGTCTGTTGGCCATTTGCATGTCTTATTTACGGAGAGTAATTATAAGACATAATACAGGGGGCTGGAGAAATGGCTCAGAGGGTAAGAGCACTGGTTGCTCTTCCAGTGGACCCGAGTTCAATTCCCAGCAACCACATGGTGGCTCACAACCGTCTCTAATAAGACCTGGTGCCTTCCTTGCCAGCAGTACATTGTATGCTTAATAAATAAATAAATAAATCTTTAAAAAAAAAGACATAATACAGTTGAACGTGACCTGTTTTGTAGCAAAGTAAAGGCAATTAATCATCACAGGCTCTTCTGGTTACAGCTTAATTAACTTAAGCAGGAGAGAGTCTTGCACAGCGTGTCAAACCATCACCAAAGCCACATTGGTAGTGTTACTTTAGTTGCTTTATTTATAAAACTGGCTTTCTGCAATAACGAAGCTTGCTGTTTAAAGAGAAAAGAACAGTTATGTGCTTTCTTTTTTGATTTTCAGTACAGAACCCAGAGCAAGGTAGAGGTATATATTACCTAGGGACCATTTCAGGGTCTGCTAACAGTTATACGGCACATAAGTAGAGTTATTCTTGGTTTTGAACCGAAAGATTAAAGATATTGATATAAGTATTTCTTGACTTGAAGTAAAGTCTTTCAAACCATAGCTTACTACATTAGACTGGAGAAAACGAGTTTTTAAGTTTATTTTTTTTTACATTTAAACATTTAAAGTAGAGAAAAATAACAATTTCAATGAAACATTATTAAACAAAAATGTATGCTTCCACATAATAACGCAACTTGCAAACTAAGAAAACAGGCATATGTGAACTTGCAAAGTCTTGCTCTGTGGAGTAAAACAGGACTGTTTCCTGTCATAAATAGTTTTTCTTTCCTCTTTTGGAGTAGCAATCAAGTTCACTTCTTATTCTCATGCTATCCTCCCAGACTAATGAAAGGATTCACGTGGCTTCTATTAGCACTTGGGTGTATTTGGTTTCAAAATCTCATCTGAAGCCCATCTTAGACTAAAGCTCAGAAATGCTCCTCTACATGAGAGAAATACACCCTGCATGCATTCCCTTTATCTTTGGGACAGTAAAGACTCATTTCCATTGAATCTATACTAATAAAAAGCAGGAAAAAAATGTGATTGTCTCTATCTTGTTTCTTTCTAACCAGTCATCTTATATGATAAAGAAAGTCTACCATGGAATTCTTTATTCCCTCTGACTATAACACTTGTTTGATCTTACATCCAAACAGGAGACAATTCTTAAACCATTTCTGTCACTTTTGAAGAAAGATATAGAACTATAACAGTCCTACTAAAGGATCAATGCATTTTTTTTTCATTGTCTTCTTCTTCATCCTCCCAAGTCCCAAAGACAGGAATTCACAATGTAGCTCAGGCTGGCCTGAAGTATACCACCTTCCTGCTTCAGTCTTTTCAGTACTGATATTACATTACCAGCTAGTCCTTATATATTAATCTTGTTCTTCTACACCTTTTGTGAATTACTGTCAGAATAGAATGTTTTGTTGAAATACAGCACACACTGTCTGTTCTTATGAAAGCACTGCTCTCTACTTTTTCCCACCAAGTTGAAATCCATCTGTATAATATACAACCTCTCTCAAGACATTATGGTGCTGTGGGATAATGGTCTTGTACACTGTAAAGATTTGTCACTTGTATTGGTTTAATGAAAAGCTGGCTGGCCTGTATCCATGCAGGAAGTATAGGTGGGGCAACAAGACTAGGAAAATTCTGCGAAGAGGAAAGACTCAGTCTGCAGTTGCCACCAAGACACAGAGGAAGCAAGATGAAAATGGTTCACTGAGAAAAGCTGTGGGACCAGGCAGGACAGAAACTTCTGCCTACATGACATTATACTACCTTCACTCTCATTTCTCCCTGTAACAAAAGTCTCTTTATTCTTTACAAATATTATGTACACTACCATTACAAATATCTCTATGTGCATGCCAGGAGTGATGCCATAAACCTATAATCTGAGCACTCAGGAGGTATGAGGAAGACAGTTCAAGGACAGCCTGATCTACATAGTGTGCTCCAGTTCAGTCAAGCTTACATAAAGAGATTCTGGTCTAACTTTTTATATATATTAGGAGTTTTAAAGTTCTTAGAAATGGTGGCAAAAGAAAGCAGTTGTTTTCGGTACTCACACAGGACTTTCATAATGTACTCTATACTGAAGAGAACAGGGTGGTTTCTGAAGGGTGCTGAATTTAGATTTATTTCAGAGTCTAATTTCCAGAGTGTCAGTTTAAGAATTTATCTTCCTTCTGCAGAAACTAGGTTGTTCTTATTCAATTATTTTTGAGCAACCATCAGAATATGTGAAAATATTTCCTAATGAGTCACACAATTCTATTTTAGTTCCTTGTGAGCAAGTTTGTACATGTAACATGAAAATGGAAAACATCTGGGATCATTTCATAAGTGAGAAAATTTCTTTAGTAATCTGCAAGTTTATAGAATGTTCAAGATGACTTAGAATATTTTTTTTCAAAAGTGCACATATATATGAAAAGTAAGTCTAATTTCAGTGTAAGCTATTATAAAATAGAAAAAACATTGTATGACTGTGATTCCTACTAAGAGTGATCTGTTCAATTACATATTAATGTGCTAGAGAGGTAATTCGACAATTCAAATCTATGCTCACAATGAAAACATCAGGGAAGTTGACAAATCAAGTGTTTGACTTGTGATTGGTTGGAAATATTGTTACTATAATATTCTAACATTAAAATGAAGCTATAGTTTGTAGGTAGAGACTGTTCACTCATTTACTTATTTTTCAGCTGCCCAGATGCAAATAATAGCACAAAAACTATGCTGATTTCAATAGAGTTTGGACAATAGTTTAGGCATATTTTTAGCTAACTCTTACATCTTAAGTTAATCTATTTATTTTAACTTGTAAACCACCACAAAGATGTTACCTGCCAGGAACATTCTGGCTTGTGGCTGGTGGTTTTTTCCTTCAGCAGCTATATGACATTTCTTTAACTCTGCCTACTATCTTTCTATATCTCTTCCAGCTTGGCTATATTCTGCCATGCTATAGGCAGAAGAAGCTTCTTTATTAACCAATGGCAATAAAACATATTCATAGAATACAGAGGGGAATCCCACATCATCTCCCCCTTTCTGTCTAAATGAAAAGGAAGATTTTAATTTTAACATAGTGAAATTACATTTAACAAAACAGGTATCAAAGAAGAATTACAGTTACACTATTGATATCTACTTTATCTGTTTTATAATTAGGGAAAACTATCATTATAACTATTATCCAACTCTATCACAGTATCCAGAAGAATATAATATTACCTAAGTTAACAGGAAGTGCCTTGTAAGCAACTTCCTAACTCTAGAATTGACAGAGACATCTCACTGCCTAGACAGTCACACCTAAAGTTCTTCTGCACCATTGGGGCATCCATCTTCAGCCTATGGGCCTATAGTATTTGGCAAACATTTTCATGAAGCAGGAAATTTGAAAGACTTTTGCCTTTATTGGCAGTTTGTCTGTCACTCTCTTTTGTATCCTGCAGAATATTTGGCAGACTCTTTCATGAAGCAAGAACCCTGAAGAACTGTCTCACCTTTAGGCAAATTCAGCAGTTATTTCTCTATCGGTCCTGTATATCTAGTTCATATAGCATACCATCAAGCAGTCCAGGAAAGAGCAGTTTCTTGCCAAAATGACTAACAAACTCTATAAGGAGCCTCTTCAATGACCATCATCCTCTTGAAGTAGATTGGTGCTAACAGAAGTAAATGTGTCTCATTGTCATGAAAAGTCCTAAGTTTTTAAAGCATTTCAAATGCCATATTCCTTAGATTTTTGAACTGTTGAAGATTATCTAACACAACTAAAAGTTTGATTATTTTAGAAGATGATCTATTAATATGGATTTCTTAATTATACAACATTTTTAAATGAACTGCACAAACATAATACTTTAAACAAAAGCAGAAATACATGGGGATCTTGGGGAGGGTTGAAGAGGGAGGGGAGAGGTAGGGAGGGAAGCAGAGAAAAATGTAGAATTCAATAAAAATTAATAAAAGTATAAAAAAGAAATACATATACATTGTATAACAAAATAAACCTTAAATTTGAATTAATAGAACAAGATCTATACCAATGCAAAGTATTCATTTTTATATCATAGCCCTTTTTGAATAAAAACAAACATTTATAAACAACCATTTTGGGAATTTGGGCATAGTTTTTGCAAATTACTTCCTGCTGTTTGTGGTGTGAAGTATTTTTAGTGGTTCATGGAGATCTTTTGTAGGTGGATGGCCACTTGTTTGTTTCCTGACAGCTCAAGCCTGAAATAATCACACAGAAGCTGTATTAATTAAAACATTGCTTGGTCCATTAGTTCTAGCTTCTTATTGGATAACTCTTACATATTACTTTAACCCATATCTATTAATATGTATCTCACCACAGGGCTGTGGCTTACTGGCTAATGTTCCATCTGGTTCTGGTGGGGCTACATGGCTTCTCTCTGGCTCTAACCTTCTTTCTCCCAGCATTTCATTTAGTTTTCCCCCACCTACCTCTATTCTACCCTATCAACAGACCAAGGCAGTTACTTTATTAATCAATGGTGTTCACACCATACAGAGGGGAATCCCACATCAACCTTCTGGGGGGAATCTTGTTCCATCAAACCACATAGCATAGGTTCCCATCCTCTGTAGAAACAAAAACAAAACCTCTTTTCCAAAGAAACATATCCTTACACTCAAATTTTAAAGTCACAATACCTTTAAAATATATATGTTGGTTTAACTAGCAAGCCCCTGAATCAAATGTCTCTCTGCAGTCAAAAAATTTTAAAGGAAACAATAATATACATAATCTTGATTCTTTGTGTATATTTCATCTTTATGTGGCTTATTTTTAATTCCTCCAATATATGACTGTTTGAAATCAATTATATTTCTATTATACATTTACTATTATACCTTTACAATCTCTTTGAAGACTTTGTTTTAATTTTCAAGATGATTCACTTCTTTTTATAACTCTCTATACTCTTTTTCTTTTTTATCCCAAGCTTGTGTACATTTTTAATTACACTGTGACCTGTTCAGAGGTTTGTTTCTGTCTGAATCTGTCTTTATTGAGTATCTGTAATTATTTTCTTACTTGGAGTGTTTTTAAAATTGTGAACAGCTTGGTTGCAGTGGCCCTGGATGTTGCCTTTGCCTTTCTCTGCCTTTCAATATGGTGAAGGTACCTTTATAGCTAGCTCTGGTCTGGGACTTCTGGGAGGGAGCTGTGCTCACAACCTCAATTTTGGTAAGCAGTTTACCTATGCTGCCACCAAGTAACTTGCAACATACAAACCCCATTCAATAGCTTGGCCTCCTGAAAGAGCCAGAGCTGTTCATGAGACTAGCACAAACCAGGGAGCCTTCTTGAAGGAGCCATACAGTTTTTGCTGCTACTGCTGAGTTAGGAAGCCTTCTCTTAAAGGAATTGTGTCTCTGCTTGCTTCTAGCAAACAGAGCTCACCCAAGAAAATGCTGCTACCATGAAGCAATGTTTAATTCTGTTTTGTGTGTGCATGTGTGTATGTCTGCAATTCCTTCCCAAGTTCCTCAGGTTTTAGGTGGATGTAGTCAGCCCACATTGCCAAGCCATTTGTAGGTAGAGACTGCTCGTTTGTTTCCAAGTTGCCCAGGTGTGAATGATAACACTGAAACTATTTTAATTACAATACTTTTGGCCAATAGCTTAGGCATATTTTTTGCTAACTCTTACATCTTAAGTTAATCCATTTCTATTAATCCATGAATTACCATGAGGTTGTGGCCTACCAGTAATATTTTGGCTGGTGGCTGGAATCTTTCTCCTTCAGCAAATGCAATGTTTCTCTTTGACTCTGCCTACTCTCTATATACATCCCTTCCCGCCTGGATATTCTGCCCTGATATAGGTGGAAGCAGCTTCTTTATTAACCAATGATAATAAAATGTATTCATAGTGGACAGAGGGGAATCCCACATAAATAGTGCTGATTTAAGTAACATCTACCTATCTTGTAAATGTTTTCAATGACAAGACACAAATGGCTTGTATTTTAATTTTTACTAAAGAAAAATTATAGTTTGTACCTATTGAACTAAAGGTAAAAACAGCATTGAACAATAATAGTAATGACTCATTGTTTGGAAATTACCCAAAAAATATTTTTAAAATATATAAGTAATGAAACTCTACTATTCAGAAATGTTCTCCTTGCACTTTAAAAACAATTACAATCTTTCTAAATCATCATACTCCACTATCAGTAGATGTAACCTCAACAGGGGATCTTGAATTGCTGCTAACACAGTTTAGCAACAAAGGGACCTTTTCAAACAGTCCAAACTAATGACTTACATTTTCATAGCTTCTATAGAAAATTTAATTTTAAAAAAACCACTCCCCTTTATAATATCTAACCATCATTTCTTCCAGTGAAGTGCTTGATTTTTAATTTTTCCCTATTTTTCCTCCATTTTTTTTTCTCCTCTCCCGTCTTTCATCCCAAAAGTTTGCATAGCAAGACTTCTGTGAAACTGTGTCCAGGAGAAGGAAAGAAAGCTGTAGTTTGATCATGGCAACCTAGTCTTTGAGTGACTGATGTCACTCAAATAAAATATAATAAGTTAAAGTTTAATTATGGTCACATTTATAGACTCAACCTTAATTTTAGAGCTTTTATAAAATGCTCAGGAACAGGCAATGATATAGGAACACTGAGCAATGTAGAAGCATGTCCTGCCTTAGTCCCTGCACCTACATCATTTTATGCTCTGTCTCCCAAGCCTCTGAATTTACATACTTTCCAATGACAAATTCATAGCTGTACATTTTCTAACAGAATCACAAAAGTCCAATTGGTTTTGTGATTCTCACTTTCAAATCTATCCCTGATGTCACAAGCTTCAGAGGCAGCTTCTGATTTCTATTGCACTTTGCTCTTAGGTCACCTCCTGCTGGATTGAGGTCAGGATTCTTAGGGCTTCTGCAATATATGGTATGAACTCTTCTCTCTGCAGGGCCACCAATGGCATCCTTCTGTGTATTCCTATTGTTGTCAAAGTGGCAAAGTCATGCAGTAAAAGATTTCTGTGAATGACTGAAATAATACAAGAAACAATCTCAAAAACTAACTTTGGGATAAATACATCCCCAAAATTATATGGACAAGATAATATAAGCATTCCATATTATGCAAAATTACTAGAAAAGGATTGTAATGTGTAACATTAAACACAGATTAGTTTTGTTACAATTAGAAATTCAACCATGGGAAAAAACCAAGAGTGGACATTGTGCCTTTGGATGCTTTTGTTTGCTTGTTGGGTTTTTTTCTTCTGTGTTTTGTGTTTTCACCATACAAATTGGATTCTTAATTTCATTGTTTATATTATTTAAATGTCAGTTTGCTTGGTTTCCATGTTCTGTAGTCACTTCCTAGGCAGCATTTCAGGGAATCAACTTCTTTTTTTTTATTCATGAAGTATGAAGAATTCTGCTACCCAGGACACAGGACAGAAAAAGGCACTCCATTAGCATGGCCTAGTTTACCATTCAACTTTACTTACCTTCAGGAGCCTAGAATAAAGGCAAAGCCAAAAGAGATTGGGCTCCCTTAACAACTATTTCCTCAGATTGCAATTGCCTAGAAATAGAAGAACAGGGTGGGGGTGTGAGTAGGGGTCAGGATTCAATCAATAATTTGCGTGGGGAAAATCTTATTAATTTATGGGTTAAGTGTTGAAAACTGATAAAAGAAGAAATATACAGCTCTCTTTACTGATTAATACTGTGGTTCCTGTAACTACTAGCATTAAATGTCTCTGTAAATATTGTTGTTAATGAAATCTTATTTATTATATGAAGAGTGATCCTAATTAGTCTTAACAATAAAAAATTAGTAGTCAAATATTGGAGTAAAACTGGAAGATTAGAGAGCCAGGAGCAGCCTCCATTTGCTTCCTAATGTGTTTCTTTCTGTAATGATATTTTGTTTGTGCTCTAACAAAAACAAATAAAGCTTGCCTGAAGATCAGAGGCCAAAACTAACCACTAGTTAACCATAGTTGTCTGGAGGTCTGTACAGACAGACAGGAAGTGATATGGCTGTGTGGAGAGAGGAATATAAAACAGGAGAAGAGAAAAACTCAGAATTTTTTTTTTCTGAGA